TTTTGGTAAGACTTAAACATCCCCCCCACGCCCGATCTTGATGAAACTTCACAGATCAGTAGTGGGGGGAGTATTGGATATGATGATGCAATACCAATCTGCGGAAACGCCCCCTAGCGGAGATATGAAAAATCGAAAACTGCCATTGCCGGTCTCACGCAATGCCTATATAGTACTGTATCAATGCTGTCCCCATCACGATCGAATATTCCATACCTCGAGAATCTTCATCAGCCCTCAAATCTCTAACATCTAAGGGTGAATATCGGTTTCATGCTGTTCCTGGCTCGTAACGCCGTCACTTGCTTACACAATTGCTCCTCACTCGCTCACTCGCTTGCTCACTCACTTGCTCACTCACTCGCTCACTCACTTTCTCATAGCCTCATCATTCACCTACTAGCATTCATTCTGTTCACTTCATCATACAATGGTTAGGTTAGGTTAGGTTAGGTTAAGTTCTTCAATGTTAAATGATTTCATCAGTCTCTTTTTGCGATTCCTGGAAGATCATCTCGCTGATCGAGCTGCAAGGCCATTCCGAGCAAAAGAAACTACTTTTCTTGAAAAATCCCCCTCAACTCGGGGCCCAATGTGCCCTTTCCCCATCAAAAGACTAGTCCAAAGCATAGAAATGGTTTCTTCAATATCTTCGCTCTGACTACGTTTCCATCGAGGGTCCAAATCGGGTCAGAGTCGGGTTAGAGTCGGGTTGGGGTCAGCGCTTGTACGGTGGAAACGCCAAAGGTTTAGTTGAACTCTACCCTACAAAATTTTAGGGTAGCGTTCAGTTGAGGTGCGGTGGAAACGACAAAAGTCGAGTTTGTATTGCCAACATAACAAATCCAAATTGCATTGTGTATCACGTGCTGTATTAATCGGTGTAGAAGAGGTTACACCAGAGAAATAATTTTTGTATGTTATTTTGATATTCTAAAATTAATATTGCTCAGCTTTACATGTCAGAATATGGTAGTTGACTTTGTGCAGTTGGTAATATTCAACCCAACTCCAACCCCAACGTAACTCTGATCCCATGGAAACAGGCAAGGCAACTTAACTCTAACCCGACTCTAACCCGACTCTGACCCGATTCTGACCCGATTTGGACCCTCGATGGAAACGTAGTCTCTGGTGCGTTTCCGCAGATTGGTATTGCATCATCATATCCAATACTCCCCCCACTACTGATCTGTGAAGTTTCATCAAGATCGGGCGTGGGGGGGATGTTTAAGTCTTACCTTAATTTTACCAAGAAAACTTATATTTTCGAACTTCATGCATTAATAAATCAAGAATTAATACATCAATAATTTGCTCATTACTCTAAAAATAATCTATTTTCTGTGCTAAATGGAAATAAAGGTGTTTCCTAAATTTTTTATGCCACTGTTGTTTATTATATATTGACTTATAGATGCATAAAATAAGTAATAACTTTTTTATTTGCGTATATGTAAAATACAAAATTAACTTGTTAAAAATTTAATCTAGTATAAATTTGTCTTAATTGTGTATAACATATTTTTCATGCGTTAAAGCATAACTTTAACTAAAATTTCAATTGAGATTTTTTTTATTAAAGCTGTGGATGCGAAATTTATCTCATAATTGCACAATGGATTGTGAACTTAGGTAATAACTACACAAATACATTTTTAATTAATTTATATATTACTTTCATTAATAAAGATCAGTCCAAATTTTAACTTTGATTATATTCCAAATTAAAGGTGCATTCCACAAACGTTCATATATGGTTTGGTATGGTCGTTTTGTTACTTTAGCGAGCCATTCAAATATCAGCACTAAAAAGTGATGGTGGCAACCAAAGTAGTGTTTGTGTATAATGTGAGAAATTATAATTCTATTTATTTTAAGTTTGTATGATAAAAAATCATGTTGTATTCTGACAGTATTCTGACCCTTGCAGAAAAAAAAATCGATTTTAATTACTGTTGCAGATAATTAAATAACCTTTATGCAACGCGAATACGTATTTCGCTCGTGGCCGGATACTTATGAACAGTAGTGTATATGTATATGTCACCGATATTACGTTTTCTTTTTTCATATCGCCCGTTCTTCGTTCGAATTCGATAATGAGGTACATTCCACTGTCCTACTGGTATATGGTAATAATTGCACTTAATCACGAATTTTTCATCAGTCCTCATCTTTAGAATTATAGGAATTATTGTGTAATGTAGTCGTGCTAATTACAATGTACAATAGTCAAATAATTTCGTAACCGCCACTATGAAATTCTAATAGATTTTTACGAGCTAAATCCGAATCTGAAATCCGTATTTCTTGAAGTCGTACAATTAGGTTGAAAATTAATGCTAAAAAAATTACAAATTTTCAACTTTGGACATGTATTGTGCTTTTACCATAACAGCTCTTCAGTGGTTTATTACACAAGAAAAATCTGGGAACCTTCCCAAATAAAACGATATAAATTGTTATCATATTATAAACACTTAAAAGGCATCAAGTTACGCCAAGGCAGTAAGCAGGACAATCAATACGGGTGCGCCAACATTGAGTACCGCTGGCAGCGACGTGTTTTGCTAAATTGTTTCTCTTGTAAAATAAAACAAAACTGACAATAATTTCAGTTGTGATTTTGTAAATTTATTCGATGCTGTTTGTAGCAGAAATGTCTGCTGTATCACGTACGATTGATAGATTTTCGCCTAGACTTATAGTTTTTTAAATAAATTAAAAAATATCAGCAAAAATTGGTGCCTTTTTAGTGTCTTTCTTATTTTGATCATCATTTAAACATATTCAAATGTTTATAATGTTACAAAATTTATATTGTTTTATTTGGGAAAATTCACAAATTTTTCTCCTGTAATAAGCCACTGAATTTCAAAGTTGAAAATTTTCAATTTTCCTCAACGTTAATTTTCTCAAAAACTATACGACCTACGACGAATTTTATACTAGCAGTTATGGAAAAAAAAATAGTCCAAATTTGTTGTACAATGTTATTAAAGGAATTAGTGCAATTTATAAACATAATACTAGAAAAATAGCTACGTTTCTATATCCAAATATTCCACAAAAACGATTATGTCATAGATCTGATAGATAACTATTGGTTTTTCTACAATTTAAGTGAAAATGTATTATTGAGAACGCTGTGTGAATGCATAATTTCTATCCTAAACTGTAGGTCGTTAAATCGTACTGTTGGAGTCCAGGAGAATTTACAACACACTTTATTATAATAAAACTCGAACAACTTTATTAGGTTGACTAACGCGTAGATCGATGACTTTACTCTAATAAGATATCGCAAGTAAATAAAACTCAAATTACGTCGTGTTTGGTCTCATTTTTAATGAGCAAAATATTACAAATATGATGGAAAAAATTTCAAAAAAAAAATTTGGAAAAAATTTCAAAAAATAAATAAAAAATAAAAAAATTTTATTCTTGCATTAGGAGTGTCCTTCTAGTAGGTCACTGTTTGTTTACGTTCGATCTCCTTCGCTCGCGATGTACAGTGGATATTCTATATAAGCAAATCTTTCGGGAATGAAGTTTTGCGTATATCGTACAGGTCCTACATTGATTGATGTCTTGCCGAACGTAGAAAAGGACAGAAGAGAAAAATATCACGGTCGCCGTTTGCGTATATCGTAAAGGTGCTACATTTCG